TCTTTCTCTTTCTTTCTTTCTTTCTTTCTTTCTTTCTTTCTTTCTTTCTTTCTTTCTTTCTTTCTTTCTTTTTCTTTCTTTCTTTCTTTCTTTCTCTTTTTTCCTTCCTTCCTTCCTTCCTTCCTTCTTTCTTTTTTTCTTTTTCTTTCTTTCTTTTTGTGGTACTGGGAATCAAACTCAGGGCCTTGTGCTTGCCAGACAGGCACTGTTCCACTGAGCTACATACATCCTTGGCCCTGATTTTTGTGTACTGATTTTGTATCCTACTACATTGCTGAACTTGGTTATACTAGGACTCTTTTGGTGGAATTTTTGGACCTTCTATGTAAAGAATCATGTCACCTGCAAATAATGTTAATTAGACTTCTTTCCCTATACGTATCTCTTTTATTTCTTTCCCCTGCCTGGTTGTTCTAGCTAATGTTTCAGGTACTGTACTGAACAGGAGTGGTGATAGTGGACATCCTTGTTGTGTTCCTGAGTTTAGAGGGAAAAGTTTAAGTTTTTCTCCATTTCATAAGATGTTGACTGTTGGTTTGTCATAAATGGCTTTTATCAGATTGAAATAAGATCCATATATACTTATTTTCTTCAGGGTTTTTTCATCATGAATGGACATTAGATTTTATCAAAACCTTTTTCTTTATTGAAATGATAATGTGATTTTTTTCCTTTCTATTGTTTATATGTTGTATTACGTTTATTCATTTGGCAATTTTTAAGTATTCTTTCATCCCTAGAATGAAGGCTACTTAGTTATGATAAAGATTTTTTGATGATTTGGTGCATTTTATTTGTCAGTATCTTGATAATTTTTATAACTATGTTTATTAAAGAGATTGGCTTGTAGTTTTCCTTTTCAATTGTGCCCTTGTCTGATTTTGCAATCAGGGTAATGGTAGATTCCAGGAATGAATTTGGGAGTACTCCTACCTTTTCAATTTCATTGAAGAATTTGAGGAGTATTGGTCTTATATTCTCCCTGAAGGTCTGGTAAAATTCAGCAGGTCCTGGGAAAATTCCACTAGGTCCTGGGCTTTTCTTAGCATGCTTTTATTATTGACTTGATTTCACTGCCTGGATTGTTCAGATTACCTATGTCTTCTTAGTTCAGTTTTAGTAATTCATATGTTTTCAGGAATTTGTTCATTTCTTCAGGAATCTTCAATGTGTTGGAGTGCAGTTTTTCATAATAGTTACTAATTGTCTGCATTTCAGTGGTGTTCATTGTGATCACACCTTTTTCATTTCTAATTACATGGGTGTGGGTCTTTCTGTTCTATCTTCTGGTAAGTTTGGCTAAGTATTTGTCTATTTTAATTAGTTTTCAAAGAACCAGCTCCTCAATTAATTTGATTCTTGGTTTTTTTTTGGTCTGAATTTTGTTAATTTATGCTCTAATTTTTATGATTTCCCTCCTTCTACTAAATTTAGATTTAGGCTGTTCTTGTTTTTCTAGTATTTTGAGTAACATTCTTGGGTTATTTATTTAAGCCCATTTTGTTTTCTAAAGTGAGCATTTATAGCAATAAACTTCTCTGTTAGGACTGTTTTCATTGTGTCCCATAGATTTTGGCATATTGTACTGGTATTATCATTTGATTCTAGGAATTAATATCTTCTTTGACTTCTTCTATGAGCCATTGACTGTTCAGTAGTGTTATTTAATGTGTTTGTAAAATTTCTGTGCTTTTTTGTGATTGATTTTCTAGTTTCAAAGCATTATGATTTGATAGTATATATGGAATGATTTTGATTGTTTTGTATTTGTTTAATCAATTTGGACTAGTATGTGGTCTATTTTGGAAAAAGTTTTGTGTGCTGCTGAGAAAAATGTATTCTAGTAGAGTAGAACCCTATGTAGATATCTATGAAGTTCATTTGTTGGACAGTGGGGTCAGTTCAGCTCTACTATTTCATTCTTTCTTCTTATTTTTGTTTTAGATATTTTTTTGAAACAGGGTATCACTATGTTGTTCAGGCTTGCCTTAATCTCACTGTGTAGCCTAAGCTGGTCTTGAAACCATAATGATTTTCCTGCCTTAGCCTCCCATGTTGTGAGATTATAAGCGTGCACCACCATGCCCAGCAGCTCTGATATTTCTTTGTTATTTTTTTGTTTAGTTGATCTATTTGTGAAAATGAGGTATTATGGCCACCTACTGATAGTGTTGGTGTTTTTTTTATCCTTTACGTCTAATAGTGTTTGTTTTATGAACTTTGGTGCACTGATGTTTGGTGCATATATATTTACAGTTGTTATCTCTTCCTGTTGAATCATTCCCTTAACTAATGGAAAGTGATCTTGTCTTTTCTCATCAGTTTTAGCTTAATATTTACTTTATCTACAAATAAAAGTTGCTACCGCTGCTTTCACAATCCTGGTACATGGAATATTGCTTTCCATTCTTTGGTGTTTAGTCTATGAATTTTTTTCTTGGTTAGATGAGTGTTTTGAATGCAACAGACCATTAGCTTTTATTTCTTGATTTGGCCTGCCAATTGTATCTTTTAATTGGGGACCTGAGGCAATTTATGTTGAGAGTTATTACTGAAAAATAATGACTTATTTCTGTCATTATGTTCATTTTTGTTGTTGATTCCTTTACCCCCCCCCCCCCTTTAACTATTTACCTTGCTTGACATATTGATTCCATTCAACTTTTTGGCTTTTTTGTCTTCATCATTAATGTCTAGGACATCCTTGAATATTTTTAGAGTGCTGGTTTGGTGTTCATGAATTTCTTAAAATGTTCTTTTTTATGGAATATTCTTATTTCTCCATAAATTTTGAATGATAGTTTTGCAGGATATATTAGTCTGGTTTGAAAGTTATTTTCTAGGGATGGAAACATTTTACTCCAAACTCTCCTACCCTTTAAAGTTTGTGCTGAAAATAATCCTGTAATCCTAGTGGGTTTACTTTTATATATGATTTCTTTGTCTCTGACAGCTTTAAAGATTCTGTCTTTTTGTTGGACTCTGGGATTTTGACAATGATGTGTCATGGGGAGTTGCTTTTTTCTTTTGGCATTCCATAAGCTTTACTTACCTGTATGTTGAGTAACTTCACTGTACTTGAAGTTTTCCACTGCAATTTCTGTAAATAGAATTTTAAATTTCATTTGTGCTGTCTTCTAATGTCTCTCTAATGCCAATTAGCCTTAGGTTAGTCTTCATATCATCTATAACTATTGGATGAAGTTTTCTTGCTCTCATTGTTTTTAAGGTTTCTCTGACTATATCACAGTGTTACTCCATTTTGTTTTTGATTTCTGAAAAATTTTCTTTACATCGTTCATTTCTTCTGTTTATGAATTCAAAAGAATTATTTGTCTTTGGAATTTTTGTTTGGCACCTTTTTGTAGAACCCATTTTTTTTTTTTTTTTGGTAAATTTGTCATTCATGTTTTGAACCATTTTTCTGAGTGCTTCTAATTTTTTATTTGTTTCTCTCATAACTACACTGGTCAGTTTGTTTGACATTTTCACTATCTTTTGGGTAATATTATGCTGATTTTCTTTTCTTCCTCTTTAATCATTTCTTGCAACTCAGCTATCTGGTGTTTGATTTCCTCTTCATTGATGCCCCTTGGATCTGCTTTGAGAGAGTTAGGAGTCTTTGTTTTTTTTCTTTTTTCATTTTTGCCTTGTTTTTCCATGTTACAATTTTTGGTGTGTGTATATGCTGAGGACTGAGGTAAATAGAGTGAGAAGAATTTGTTGTTGGTATGATCTCTTTGGTTAATTCTTTTTTTTTTCAATGATGTGTTCTTGACTTTATCAAAAGGTATTGTTAATTTGTTCAACTTATTCAATTTAATTGGGTTGGACCCTGTAACTGTGTTATAAGGAAAAAATTTCTACTGGTTATAGCCACAGCAACAGATCCAACCATACAGCAATGATAAACATTAAAACTTGTTTTGATTTTACTTTTTTCAACGCCTCTTACAGACTTTGTTGTACTGGCATTTGTGAATTGTGTACCATGTGGAAGGTGGACGAAGAGAGGAATGGGACACGGAATAGGGGTATGCCAATAGAAAAGGAGGGAGGTAAGATACATGTTAATATGTAACACAGACAGGAATTTGGAATTGTTTTTGATAGGATTAAGAGCTAGTGTTGAGTTTGAAAGCACATTTGTGTAGGCAGGAAGTACGCAGTTGGGTGGAAGTGTAAAGACTGAGAGAGGCTCTGAGATTGCTAGAACCTGTTAATGTATTTATATATAGTTTTGTTTGGATCCTCTAAGCCCAATTTTATTAAGGATTACTCTGATATGGCTATGAATGGCACTGCTTAGTTTATAGCACTGATTAATTCTTATTCTCTAACGTACTTATACAGGCCCTTGTAATATTTGTGCCATTAGATAAAAAGGAGGAGCAAGAAGGGAAGGAGGTGAGGTAATGAAGAAGAGAGGAGTAAAAAAGAAAACAGGAGAGAGAGTAAAAAGAAGCACTAAAAGAAGGAGCAGATCAAAGGGGAAACGCCTTGAAGAATAAAGTATAATAACAATACAATACCAAGAAAGAAACAAGAACCATTGTTCAACCAAGATGACCCAAATCAAACAAAGAAGGAAGGAAATAATAAAAGGAACAAATAAAAATAAAAAACTAAAATAAAATAAAAATAAAAAACTCTGCACAATTGTTAAAGCATTAACCCAGAGCACCCACAAGACTCCCTCTACACTAGAACCACAATCTGATCGTAAGCAGCAGTAAATTGTCTGCCCAAAGCCATAAGGACTATTGTTCCTGCTGAACATAGGGCAAGGTTGCAAGCTGTGCTCCAGGCATAATCCACAGCAGGCCTCTGGATCTTACTGCCTTAATCTATCTGAGGTGAAATATCAGGGATGTCTTTGTGTCTTCCCTTCACAGACTCTCCTTGCCTGATATATGTCCCTTTGCCCACAGAACTCTTATCTGTCTCAGCTCCACCTCTGGAACCTAGGGCCACCCCTAGGCTTGGCAGAGGGCCTCGTTTTCCAGTGCAGGGTGATGGGCAGCATCTCGTGCTGTCTCAGGCCTTTCTGGTGTTTGAGCAATCAATAGGAGAGCTCCCTCTATTCGGGCTACACCAAATTGTCCTTTCATCTGGCCTCCAGTGTCTCTCCTCTTACAGATCTCTCCCCCTCCAATCTCAGCTTTGTGTATTTGGTATAGACCTGCGTTCCCCTGGCCTCTGGAATCCTTATCTAGGGTATGCTAGAGGCCCTCTGCAGGAGCCTGCAGCCAATTGAGGGTAGTGTGGTGAAAGTTCCACAAACAACACTCCGATTTATGTGGCAGGATTGGGTGAACTGTTTTTTTCTCTGTTGAGCAAGCCTTCTGTCTTTCCATTGTCCTGCTGCTCCCAGGTGCTGGAGTGCTGGGTGCAAGTGTGTGGCATTTTGTCCCACTCCATTCTCCTGCTTTCAGCTTCTGTGTTTTCCCAGGGTGTATGTGTTTCACTTGCCATGCCAGATAGTTAGAGAAACTGTGAGTCTATTCCATTAGCCAAGCTGTCATTGAAGGGCTACCTCCATCCCTCAGTCAGATCCACTCCCAAAACGACATCTATTCTGTGTCTGGGGTGGGCAGTGAGGTGCCGGTGACCTAAGAGTGGTCTGGTTTCCTCCCACAAACCCCTTAGACACTGGACTTTAGCTCAGCTACATTTTCTTTTTATTTATCCTCTGTATCACATTATCTTTTGCCCCCTTGCAGGGTCTCTGTCTGCTTTTCTCCAGCACAAGTTTAGACACTCACTCTTACCATCTCCTCCTGGGCGGCCATCTTCTCTCCTCCAGCATTTTTTTAGCACTGTATACCTGTTGCCAATTTGGATGTCTTTAAAGAGATTCTCTTCAGGTTCTCTGTTTTGAAAAACCAATGCATTGTTTATTCTTGTGATCAATTTTTAACTTTTTTTAGCTGTCGAGTTCTTGATATATTTTGGATATTAATCATTTATCAGACATATGGTTTGTAAATGTTTCCATTTTGTAGGTTGTCTCCTCTATTGTTTCTTTGGCTGTACAGAAACTTTTCAGTTTACTGTAATCCTATTTGTATATTTTTTATTTTGTTATCTATACTTTTGGGGGTAATATCTCAAAATAATCACTGCTCAGGCTGTCATGGAATTTTTCCCTATGTTTTCCTCTGGTAGATTTATAGTTTTATGTCTCACATTTACATCTCTAATCCATTTGGATTGATTTTTGTATGGGGTGGTGAGGGTTTAATTTCATTCTTCTGCATATAAATATCCAGGTTCTCAGCACTTTGAGGATACTGTCTTTCTGCATTGTGTGTTTTTGGCACTTTTGTTAAAATTCAGTTGGCTATAATTTGTGGATTTATTTCTGGCCCATCTATTCAGTTCTATTGGTGTTTGTATCTGTTTTATACTAGTAGCATTATTTTTTTTTCATGATGTTTTGATTACTATAGTTTGCAGTAGATTTTGAAATGAGATAGTGTGATGCCTCCAGCTTTTTTCTTTTGGTTCAAGATTGGCTTAGCTTTTTGGAATCTTTTGTAATTTTGAATGAATTTTATGATTATTTTTCTATTTCTATGAAAAATATTGGAATTTTGATAGTCATTTCATAAAATCTGAGAATGTTTTGAGTAGCATGGATATTTTAAAAAGTTAATTCTTCCAATTCATGAAGGTAGGATGTTGTTCCGTTTACAAGGCATGTAACTTCTTTGAAGAACTGCACTCTATGTCCCCATTATTTATTTTTTTTCCTTTAAATTCTTTTAATGGTACATTTTAGGTATACAATACATTTACATTAATCACTGGGTACTTGTACCTGTACATGATGTACCTTGGTTCCTATTTTTTCCCCATTCCCTCTCCTCCCTTCACCCCCTCCACCCTTCCCTATTTACAAAGACTTTGTTTCCATTTTTTCCTTTTTTCATAATTTTTCCTCTCCCTTCTTTCTTTTCCCCTTTGCTTCCCACTTCCCCTAGCCCTTTGGACCTTTTCTTCCTATTTCAAATTATCAGTTATTCATTTTAATCATTTTAATCCTTATTTACACTTTCAGTTTCTCACACCAGAGAAACTATTCAATATTTACACGTGTCCTATTTATTTCACTTTGGAGTATGGCCTCAATAGGCATGCATTTAGCTATAAATGTCTCTAGTTTGTCATTCTTTATGGCTGAGCAGTACTCCATTTTATAAAAAAAACCACATCTTCAGTTTCCAGTCAATAGGCACTTGGACTGTTTCCAAGCTTTAGCTATTACAAACTGTGTCACTATAAACATGGTTGCACATATATCGCTGTGGTATGATAGAACTCTTGAAGACACTGGCATAGGAAAAGAGTTTATGAACAAAACCTCAGTAGAACGGGAACTAGCACAAAGAACCAACAACTGGGATCTCATTAAATAGCTTCTGCACTGCAAGTGAAACCACCAACAGAGCTAAGAGACAACCTACAATTTGGGAAAAAAATTTTTGGAGGTGTGCCTCAGACAAAGGACTACTACGTAGAATGTATAAAGAACTTAGAACCTAAAAAAATCAGACCCCCCCCAAATTTAAGGACCCAATTCAAAAATGGGCATCTGAAATGAACAGACATTTCTCAGACAAATAAAGTAAAAGCAGCAAATAAACATATGAAAAAATATTCAACATCACTGGTCATTCGAGAGATCCAGATGAAAACATCACTGAGATTCCACCTCACCCCAGAAAGAATGGCTGCTATCAAGAAATCAACCAATAACAAATGTTGGCAGGAGTGTGTGGAGAAAGGACCCCTTCTCCATTGTTGGTGGGAGCCTATTATTTCTTACTTGGAGTACTCTAATGGCCTTTTTCATGTTTCCACATTTGTGTCCTCTCTCTAGCATTTACTTTTTAGAGAGCCTATGAGTAATTCCTTGAAAGCATAATGCTAATCATTTTACTCCTCTGAAGCCCATTATAATAGAATGATTAAAAACATACTTTGGTTAAGAATTTAAGCCCAGAGCTATAAGATAGAAAAGAGAGGTGAAAGATAGACCATATTTTTTTGAATCTCAATAATAGATAGCTAAAACCAGCTATATGATTCTAAAATACACTACTCACATCAAGAACTCAAGATGTTGATGGATACAGGAAAACTCATCAAGAGAATTTTTGAACAGAACTTCTCTGGAGAGAACTTGGCTGTCTCAGTTATCTAGCATGGGCACTTCACTGAGACTCTTCAGGGATCTTACTATAGAATGCCACTACAAATTTTATACAAATTAGATAGAAACCATATAAGAAAAAGGTAGCCTTAAGATTATTTCTTTTGGTACGGGGAATCAAACTCAGGGCCTTGAGCTTGTCAGGCAGGTGCTACATGGCTGAGCCACATCCTGGCCCTTTAAGATTTTAAAAGTGCTGTCAAAAATCATTGCCTTGAGTAATAATGGGACTGAAGGGAAAATGGCTAACCAGAGGAATGTACATCTCCCATGACATGGAAATTGGAACTGAATCTTTCCAGTGATCTGTCTAAAAAGCTATGAAAGTATCAGAGACAAAGAATTAGATTTAGATACTTGCTATACTCATAAAGTGAGGAGACTTGCACTTCCTCCTTTAAATAAGCAAGAAGTTTTTGTGTACTCCTTATTTTCCTTCTAGTCCTTTCTCTTTCAACCTGGTACTATCAGAAATGTAGGTTATAAAAAATGTGAGAGGAGAGTGAAAATTTAGGGAGAAAAAGAAGTATGAATATACTGTCCCTCTTGGATTATTGCTAATTTACAGACGCTCTCAAATAGGAGGGAAGAAGCATTTTAACTTTAAATTTAACTTTAAATGTGTTACTCCATTAATCTTGATTATTTTAGTTATTGAATTGAGACAAAAGCTTTGCAACTTATGGTAACTGTGGGACTTATTGTGATCTATCAGTTTAGAGACTACTGGATCTTTATCAAGTTTATCAATAAGTGAATGTCTTCCTCTCTTAGATAACACCAAGGGAGAATAGTATGTAAATATAAAGTGATTTTTTGATTAAATCTCAAAAATAGTGC